ACGGGGTTTCACCATGTTAGCCAGGATGGTCTCGACCTCCTGACCTCGTGATCTGCCCACCTCAGCCTCCCAAAGTGCTGGGATTACAGGCATGAGCCACCGCACCCGGCCGAATGTGCCCTATTCTCAAAAGAAGACATACAACTGGCCAAGTATTGTGGAAAAAGGCTCAACATCACTAATCATCAGAGAAATGCAAATCAAAACCACAATGAGATACCATCTCACACCAGTCAGGATGGCTATTACTTAAAAGTCAAAAAAATAACAGATGCTGCCAAGTTTCAGAGAAAAGGGAACACTTATATGCTCTTAGTGGAACTGTAAATTAGTTCGGCCCCTGTGGAAAGCAGTTTGGAGATTTCTCAAAGAACTAAGAATAGAATTACCATTCAACCCAGCAATCTCATTACTGGGTATGCACCCAAAGGAAAATAAATCATTCTACCAAAAAGACACTAGCACTCACATGTTCACTGCAGCACTGTTCACAATTGCAAAGACATGGAATCAACCCAGGTGCCCATCAACAGTGGACTGGAAAAAAAACAGTACACATACACCATGAAATACTATGCAGCCACAAAAAAGAACAAAATCATGCTATTTGCAGCAACGTGGATGTAACTGGAGGCCATTATCCTAAGTGAATTAACATAGAAACAGAAAACCAAATACTGCATATTCTCATTTATAAGTGAGAGATAAACACTGGGTACACATGGACATTAGGATGGCAACAACAGACACTGGGGACTTCAAAAGTGGGAGGGAGGAAGTGGGAGGAGCATGGGTTAAAAAGCTACCCATTGGGTACTATGGTCACTATTTGGGTGATAATCATTCAAAGCCCAGACTCCAACATTATGCAATATATCCATGTAACAAATCTGCACATGTACTTTCTGAGTCTAAAATAGAAAGAAGAAGAAGGAGGAGGAGGAGGAGGAGGAGGAGAACAAGAAGAAGAAGAAGAAGAAGAAGAACAAGAAGAAGAAGAACGTGCCCTAATCATTTTGTGATGTTTGGGTGTGAGTTATTTGCTGGATATTTGCTTGACACATTGAGTCGTTCACCACTGTTTTCTCAGGGGAACTATCTTTTTCCAACTCAATGTGGTGGAGTGGAGTGTCTGTGATAGTGTCCTGTCCCTTCCATCCTCAGTGGTTGGCAAATGATCCAGGCTGAACCAATTACAGTACACCATCCCTCTGGCCTCAGTGATGGTGCAGAGAGGATATGTGATCCCTGCAAGACTGGAGTGTTTTCTATGATAGATACTCCTGGTTAAGCTAGCAAGCTGAGGTAGCCCAATGCCCTCTTCCTTATGACATGAGAAAGCCTGAGGCAGCCTGAAGACAAGGGAAGTCCTGCAGAACAGAGTTGAAGAAAGAAAGAGAGACAGAAAGCTAAATCATTTTATAACTTTTATAATAAGTTTTCTCTACTGGACCCAACTACGCCCAAAGAAGCCAACACATTCTTTTTTTTCCCCTTAAATTATTCAAGTGTTCTGTTACATGCAACTAACAGAATTCTAACTAATAATTCCATTCATTGTACAGATGAGGGGACTGGGAGTCCAAGAGGTTAACTGATTTGCCTATGACCAACCACTCAGCTAGTAAGTTACGTGGCCAATTAGAAAAGAAGTTCTAAAAGAATGTGACATGGATCATCTATTCCTACTGGCTCAGAGAAAAAAAGTATTTGGATGCTGATGCTGTCATTAATTCTCTTCCAGTTCTATGTCATCTGAAAATTTGATAAGGATATCATGAATGTCAAAGCCACTACTAATATTCTTAGACAAAACAAAACTAAATCCCAAGCATCGAAATCTTTCCTGCAGGGCTGGGAGTGGTGGCTCACACTATAATCCCAGCACTTTGAAAGGCTGAGGTGGGAGGATGGCTTCAAGCCAGGAGTTCAAGACCAGCCTGGGCAGCACAGTGAGACCCACATCTCTTTAAAAAAATTAGCCAGGCACAGTGGTGCTCACTTGCAGTCCTAGCTACTTGGGAGGTTGAGGTGGGAGGATCACTTGAGCCCAGGAGTTGGAGGCTGCAGTGAGCTATGACCACACCACTACACTCTGGCTTGGATGACAGAGCAAGACCCTGACTCGAAAGAGAAAGAAAAGAAAAGGAAATCTTCTTCCAGAATAACACTGACCCATTATCCAGTATTCATTTGCTATCACTGTTCAGTTGCTTACTAACCCCCCTCACTGTACTACTGTGCAGTCTACACCCTTGCCACTCAAAGTGTGGCCTATGAACCAGCATAATTGGCAGCACCTGGCGGTTTGTTAAAATACACTCACAGGCCCCATCCCAAACCTACAGAACAAGAATCTGTATTTTAACAAGATGCCCAGGGGATTCACTGTACAGTAAAGTTCAGATGTGCTGCTTTTCTTGGTTTTCATTCCTCTCTCTGTGTCTCTATGCCTTCTAAAATGTAATGAACTTACACACACATACCCCTTATCTAAATGTCAGGCAACCCTGTTGAAATAGCCAGTGTAGTCAGTTTGATGTGTCTTTTCCTGCTGAACCTGTGAAAGTTCATATTGATCACTACTGATAAACCATAATTTTAATAAAAGGAAATATTGGCTGGGCTTACTGCCAGAAGTACAGATTAGAGGAGCTTCTTCTGACTTTTTGAAAATTGAGATTTTTTTTTGAAGATTTGCCCATCTCAACTCTTTCTAAAATCACCCCTTATATTCCTCCAACACATTCCTCACAATTCCTTAAAGACAATCAAAGGAGTTCAGTAATTTCATTTGCATGTGTTTTCAATACTCTGGAATTCATCCAGGTCAGATCACTCAAGCTGATTTAGAGCACGTAGGTCAGTGGAATGCAACCCCGGCCACACATTAGAATCACCGGAGACAAATTTAAAACCACCAGGGCCTAGACCTGTCAACAGGACAATTAAATCAACTTATCTGGGGTGAAGCCCCAGCAGGGTATTCATTTTTTAAGCACCCCAGATAATTCTAATGTCCACCAAGGTGAGAAGCCATTCACAGAGGGTTTGTGTGTATGGTTTTAAAAAATCTAATCTCCAGAGCCCACACTTAGAATCTCTGTGGCTGAGGCTGAAGCCTCGATAGTTTTAAGCTCCCAGATGATGCTCAGGTGCAGCAGGATGAAGAACCACTAATCCAGGTGTGCTCAATACACCTCCAGTTCTCTCCTGCCTCATCTTTTCTTTCCTGTCTAAAGGGAATTCTCCTTGACGAAGAAGTTCAAAATGAGGGGGAAAAAAAGTTAAAAATTAAAAAAAAAAAAATCGAAAAAGAAAGTAAATTGGGAGGCTGAAGCAGGTGGATCGCTTGAGGTCAGGAGTTTGAGACTAGCCTGGGCAACACGGTGAAACCCCGTCTCTGCTAAAAATACAAAAATTAGTGCACCTGTAATCCCAACTACTCGGGAGGCTGAGGCAGGAGAATCACTTGAATGTGGGAAGCAGAGGTTGCAGTGAGCCAAGATTGTGCCACTGCACTCCAACCTGGACAACAGAGCGAGACTCTGTCCCCCTCCCCCACAAAAAAGTAAAAACAAAACAAGTTCCTGATGTCTTTCAGAGAAACTAGTTTTATAGTTTTATTTTGGCATTTTTCTCTTTCCCCCTCAGGATACTTTGAAGTCTTCTAGATTTGACCAGCTTGTCCCTAAAAACACACTTTACATTCCTCATGCAACCTACCCTGTCCCAATCCAAATACCAAACACCATTCGCAGATATTTATAGTCAGTGGAGTCAGCAGTTTATATCGTCCACCACTTTAAGGCAATATTCCTCCCAGATTATTTTCAGAAGGGGAGGTATGACACCATTTTGCAGATAGAGAAACTGAAACTCAGGAAAATTGACTTACTTAAATCCATACAGCCAGGAAGTGACAGAAGTAGGATTTGAATCCAGGTCTCTTTGCTCTAAAGATCATACCATTTGTTTGTTTGTTTGTTTGTTTTGCTTCTGGTATCCTGAAAAGAAAAAAAAAAAAAAATCATATCCTTTCACTACAGCATGGTGCATCCTGTGTTGTTTTTAAAAATTCGTTCCCAAGGATTTTTTAAAAAATCAAAATCTTAGGTGTACAAAGAGTTGCTGCAGATATAGGGGAATTTGAATCCTCATCACAGACAAGATTGGTCATAGAACATCTGTCTCAGATTCCCAGATAAGCTGTATTGGGCATAACCTTGAAGCAGGCAGTCTATCCCTGTCTAAATATCACAACTATAAGATCAGACCCTGACTTTCACAAAAGCTTGCATGAGCTTTTGAGCTATGGGAATACAATGCTTACAGACCACTGTATCTTCAACATGTTCTCTTGCTTGTTAAGCAATATTTTATAATACTGAAATTCCTTGCAACTCTCTCCTTAGAAGGAAAAATCTAAATAAATCCACCCTACCTACCTGTTAACCAAAGCACTATCTCTTCTTCTGAGAAATAAGTATAAGATGGCGAATTGGTCTCAATTTCCAATGATGATAAAGCATAAAATGGATCTGAGTTATATTTCAGAAATTTAGATTACATAGAGGGAAGTTCTTTATAATGTTAAGTATGGGGACAGGGAAAGTTGCCTCTCCATCTGTAAGAGTCTCTATCAGTAGAGTCAGGGCTTTAAGAAGAGAGAGAAAGAATAACATTCTACTTCTTCAGGAATTTTTTGTTTTGCATTGGCAGTTCTGAGCTGTTTGAGATGTGTTAGGATGAGTTGCAGGAATTCTGGCCTGATACCCGAGAAAGGCAGGTGGGATTCTGAGATAGACCCGATTACAATTACTTAGGGGCCACAATAAGATGCTCTACCAAGAATGGGAAGTGAAGGAAATGTCAACTTTTCAAAGTTTAAAATGCAAGAGAAATACATTCTGGATTAGAGTAGGTAGGGTCAAAGTCACCTGAAGAAGACAGGATGCCTCCCAGGCTAGAAACTCTCCATTACAATCTTTTTTAATGTAATTTCTGCTCTTCCTCCTTCTTGCTGCCAGGAATGTGTTGAGATGGCTGCAGCTCTCCCAGCTACTTTGGATCATGAGATGACCTGGAGAAGAGAAGCCACTTTGCTGAAGACAGCAACTTAAAAGTATAGCAGTCTAAGATTTTGTTGACACAGAAAAACTGCTCTAACACCACACCTAGAAGGTCTACTTCCAGATGAGAGATTGTTCTCAATTTAAGACAGATATTATGCATTCTTCTGTTATATGTGGCCTAACCTAATCCAAACCAATGCAACTAGAGTTCACCATTTGGGTAAATTCCCCAAACGTATAATCACTTGGGCATTCCTAGCCTAGGGCCCCTCGAAAGCAAGGAGAAGAGATCAACTGAAGGAAAAGTAAAAAAATAAAATAAAAAACAGTTTAGAAAAATAATACAGCTATAAGATTAGCTCAATAACTGAGGGTATATTGTTATGGAACTGAAAATATTCCTCTAACCAGCCCAAAGATGGTAAGATGACCTTTTGCCAGACCAGGAAAAAAATAATTTTAACTTTTAATTGGGTTTTGGTCCAAGTCACCGGAGGAAGCATAAGGGCAGGTAGGAGTAATGATAAAGGTAGAAGCTGGATGGAGGGAAGGAGAAGGGGCAGCCTAAGGGCTTCACCTGCCCACAGGCTAACAGTCTCCTATGCAGGTGTAAAGATACAGGAATCCATGCAGCATGTCACCCAGACCCCAAAGCTGAACTAGTGAAGCCACTCCTTTGTCACCCCGAACTAACCCCATGGCAAGGGCAGCACATATGAAGAAGAATCTCTACTTTGCCCTTTTACTAATTTCAGCTGATCTATTAATTTAATCCAACCTGCACTGAATGGAGGCTGGTCCAATTTGTCTCCTCCTGGCTGTGGGGCCTGCTTAACTATACTTGGCATCTACTTTATTGCCTTAGAGTCTTCCTCATGAAAGATGTCATTGACCCCCTGGAAAAGGAAGTTCTTTATAACATACCATTTTCTGGAGAGAACTTCACCTGCCAAATGGGAAAATACAGCTTGTCAGGCAGCTGTGCAAGGCATTCTTCATGCTCTGAGTGTTTTCGTTCAGCTGTTCATTGGGCTGTGGTCCTGGGCTATTTTCAAGATTTACTGAGAGCCAGTGAACGGCTGTGCCCACACACCAGGCTGCATAAGCCACATAGAACTGCTGGCAACACTTCTGTGGTTAGGCCCCTTTTAGTTCTTCAGAGGTGCCACGTTGCTTTAGAACAAGCAATGAACTGCTGATCTGGGTTCAAATGCTGACTCATCCAATTAAGACATGGCCTGGCAACCTACAGAATGGGAGAAAATTTTTGCAATCTACTCATCTGACAAAGGGCTAATATCTAGAACCTACAAAGAACTCAAACAAATTTACAAGAAAAAAAAAAAAACCATCAAAAAGTGGACAAAGGATATGAACAGACACTTCTCAAAAGAAGACATTTATGCAGCCAACAGACACATGAAAAAATGCTCATCACTGGCCATCAGAGAAATGCAAATCAAAACCACAATGAGATACCATCTCACACCAGTTAGAATGGCGATCATTAAAAAGTCAGGAAACAAGAAGTACTGGAGGGCATGTGGAGAAATAGGAACACTTCTACACTGTTGGTGGGACTGTAAACTAGTTCAACCATTATGGAAGACAGTGTGGCGATTCCTCAAGGATCTAGAACTAGAAATACCATTTGACCCAGCCATCCCATTACTGCATATATACCCAAAAGGTTATAAATCATGCTGCTATAAAGACACATGCACACATATGTTTATTGCGGCACTATTCACAATAGCAAAGACTTGGAACCAACCCAAATGTCCATCAATGACAGACTGGATTAAGAAAATTTGGCACATATACACCATGGAATACTATGCAGCCATAAAAAAGGATAAATTCATGTCCTTTGTAGGGACATGGATGTAGCTGGAAACCATCATTCTCAGGAAACTATCGCAAGAACAAAAACCAAACACTGCATGTTCTCACTCATAGGTGGGAATTGAACAATGAGAACACTTGGACACAGGAAGGGGAACATCACACAGTGGGGCCTGTCATGGGGTGAGGGGAGGGGGAAGGGATACCATTAGGAGATATACCTAATGTAAATGATGAGTTAATGGGTGCAGCACACCAACATGGCACATGTATACATATGTAACAAACCTGCATGTTGTGCACATGTACCCTAGAACATAAAGTATAATAAAAAATAATAATAAAAAGAAAAAAAAAGACATGGCCTGGGGTGACACCTCCAGGCAAGTCATCTAACTTCCCAGGGCTTTAGTACATTTATTTGTAAAATAATGAGTTTAAGTGTCCTTTTTAAAAGCTTTCAGCTTTAAAGTACTAGAATTTTGTGAGTTTTCTTATTTGGAAAAGAAAAATGAAAACTCATCTATATTTTCGTTGCATGTGACCAATTATTTTTTCGAGTTTTATTGAGGCATAATTGACTAATAAAACTGTATATATTTAAGGTATACCACATGATGATTTGCTTTACATATATAGTGAAACGATTACAACAATCAAGTTAGTTAACACATCCGTCACCCCACATAATCAACTTTGTGTGTGTGTATGTGGTGAGAACAGTCAGAACCTACTCTCAGCAAATTTCAAGTATACAATTCAATATTATTGACTATAGCAAATTTGTATTGCTCAAATAGCCCACATTATTTGCCAAAAGTACAAATACATATTCACAGAAAGATGAAAATGTAAACATTCCATAATCTCACCACTGTTAATGTTTTGTGTGTATCCTTCCAGACTTTTATCTAATCATAAACATGCTAAAAAATCTTTTTACAAAAAAATCACATCCTGTAAACTGTTCTGTCATTTTTCACTGAACACAAAATTCAAAACATTTTTCTGGCCAGGTGTGGTGGTTCATAACTGTAATCCTAGCATTTTGGGAGGCCGAGGTGGGAGGATCACTTGAACGCAGGAATTCAAGACCACTCAGGCAACATAGCGAGACCTCGTCTCTATAAAACATAATAATAATAAATAAAAAAGAAAAAAAAATTTTCTATGTCATATATATGACAGATATATATACACATGTTTAATGATCATAGTATTTTATTATAAAAATATACCAGAATTTAACAAAACTCCTAGGCTTTTTGCTATTATTCTGTCATATATATTACTTTGCTATTTTTTATGTCATATATACATACACACAAACGTTTAATGATCATAGTATTGTATTGTAAAAACACACCAAAATTTTACAAAACTTCTAGGCTTTTTGCTATTATAAATACTGCTGTATTAAACATTCATGTATATATACCTTGTCTAATTTCTTTGTTTCCTTATGAAAAATTCCTAGAAGTAAAATTCCTTGGTTTAATAGTATCCTCCTTTTTTTTTTTAAGACAGGGTCTCACTTTTGTTGCCTGGACTGGAGTGCAGTGGCGTGATCTTGGCTCACTGCAGCCTCGACCTCCCAGGCTCAAGTGATCCTCCCACCTCAGCCTCTTGAGTAGCTGGGACTACAGGCATGCACCACCATGCCTGGCTACTTTTTTGTATTTTTAGTAGAGATGGGGTTTGCCATGTTGCCCAGGCTGGTCTTGAACTCCTGGGCTCAAGCAATCCACCTGCCTCAGCTTCCGAAAGTGCTGGGATTACGGGCATGAGCCACGGCGCCCGGCCAACAGGATCTTCTTTTTAAAGACTTTATAAATATTCCAAATTGTCCTCCAGTGAGGTGCATGAATTTACATTCCCCCAGAAGTGTGTAAAAATGCATTTCCCCATCCTCTCTCTCATTCCTTTTACTTTTTATCTTTCTGATAGATGTAGTCTGTTACTTTTTGTGCGTGTGTGTGTGTGTTTTCATTTTTATTTAGTTCAAATGATTTTCCAATTTCCCTTTTCATTTTTGCTTTGGCCAATGGGTTAATCAAACACAATATTTGTGAGATCTTCCAGTTATCTTTCTGGCATTAGTTTCCAATTTAATTCTATTGTGATTAGAGAACATAGTCTGCATGATTTCAGTCTTTTAAAATTTCTTGAGATTTGCTTCATGGCCCAGTGGATTATCAGTCCTGATGAATGCTCCATGTGCACTTGAAAAGGATGTGTGTTCTACTGACGTTGGATAGAGTGTTCTATAAATGTCAGCTAGGTCCAGCTGGTTGATAGCATTGTTCAAGTCTTCTATATCCTCTGTATCCTTACGGATTTTCTGTCTATTCGTTCATTTACTGAGAGGCAAGTGTTGAATTATTCTACTCTAATTGTGTATTTTTTTATTTTTTATTTTATTTTTTACTATTATTTTAAGTTCTAGGGTACATGTGCACAACGTGCAGGTTTGTTACATATGTATACATGTGCCATGTTGGTGTGCTGCACCCGTTAACTCATCATGTACATTAGGTATATCTCCCAATGCTATCCCTCCCCGCTCCCCGCTAGATATAGTCTGTTACTTTTAATGTAATGTTGCATTCTTTCATAACCAGTAACCCACTCCAGAGAACAGAGGAAAGAGACACAGAACTTGCACCCCTAAAGATCTGTGGGCAGCTAACACAGCCCTCCAGGTAACTACCTGAACCTTGGCTGCAGTAGCAAGCCAGGGCACTGGGAGAGCCAGAGCACCCACCAGCTGTCATTTAGAAAAAGTGACTAGCAGAGGGCAATGTCCAGCTGCTCTACTAGCACCCACTACATATTTATGTTTTTGGTTATTTGATAAATATTTATTATTTACTATGAGCTACGAACTGTGCTCTCCAAAATAAATAATATGGTAAATTGTTTATACCTATTTGTATTTTGTTTCTGCAAAAGGATTCTATTTTCGGTGTTGAACATTCAGAAGACTATTTCATTTGAAATATTTAAGAGGTGTAGGATCCTCAGATCCTCAATGGAATAGGATCTGAGTACATGAAATAGAATACTTCTCCAAATGATATGTTGTTTCCATTGAACCGTGAGATTAGACAGGACCTGGAGATGACATGTAGAATGCACAAATGCTCTAAATGGTTTCTTTGGGACCTGGGGAATGGATACAACCCTAGTCCCAAACAACTCACCACGTGGGATATGTTTTCACAAAAGGCAAAGCTATCAAGAGTTTGTACTCAGTAGTGATGGTGGTAGCAGTATTAGCCATGGTAGTAGAATATATAACAGCTTTTACAGTGATTAAGTTAAAATATTTTAGTGCAAAAATCTCCAGACTATTGACATAAAAAAATGGAAACTTCTGAATATGATACTGTGGCAGCTGTTCAGTAATTCATTACAGCTGACTCAGAGAGGATTTCAAAATCAGTAGAGTTCAGCCCCTCTTCCTTACCTGTTCCCAAACGCACTGTCTGGTGCAATAAAAAATCAATAGTTCAGTCAGGTGCGTTATCTCAAAGGTATAAGGCAATACAATAAATAAGACCGCCCTTTATTGCCTGCTCAGATTTGTGGGGCAGTTTTCACATTTCGCCCTGGGCATACTACTTGCCCAGCCAGTTTTCCTTTCTGTGAGCTTTGTTCCAGTGGACCAGAGGCTAAATGCCATAGCTTGCAGCTTCCAGCACAGGGTAGGGGGTGTCTACAGCAATCTTCCAAAGAAATTCAGGAACATAGACCTTTGTTTCAGCAGTTCAGGAGAATTCATTCTCTGTAGAGAAAACTCATTTGCTCGTGGCAGTGATTCAAGCCACTAACCTCACAGAGAATATTGCTGGAGCCAAATTCTTTCTCAGTTATGGAGGTCAGAGGTGAGGCAACTGTGCTTACAGGACAAAGCTCTTATGGATTCCCTTGGCTTTCTGCTTTCTTCTTTACAGCTGATTAACACCCAATGGCCATTTCTTTAAAAAAGAAAAATTCAATTCCTTGATTTAATTAACTTCCTTGACACAGTATTTACCACAGCCTGCCAGAATTCAGACAGTGATTTGAGACTTCCTAATACTTGATTTCAGTTTGAGATGATTCATTGCTTGCAGCACACTAAATTCCAAATATCATCTCGGGGCTGTGTGGTCAAAATCAGGTATGGACTTTTAGCTTGCACACACGAGGACGCCTCAGCTCTGAGTCCATCAAAGGGGATTTTGGACAGTCTGAAACTTTTTGCCCTGAGTTTGACATTTTGCCCCCACTTCTTGGTCGAAGTCCTAAAATCAGTCTTCCATCCCTCACCCAATCCCAGACTCGTTGACAGCATGGGTTTTGTTATTGTTCATTTTAACGAACTGTGGGGTACTTCCCTCTGTCTCATTTTTTGAACAATCAATAAACAAGTTTTTGTTGAAAATCCAGAGAGCACAGTTTA